GGATAGCAAAGTGGTCCTACAAAATTTCACTTACTTAATTTTCACCAGATCTCTTAAGTTATTCATGTAAAATCATTGAACTCATATGGGCATCCAAGTCCATCTAGGGTAAGTTTATATGGATGGATTGTGGATATGGATCTATATTACCTCCTCTAGACCTAATTTTCATCTCTTAGTTTATGAAAGTAAAGAGATCTGGAGTCCACTAATTTGGTCAAGCCAAGGACCAACATGGATACTTGTGATAAAAAATCTGATGTTAATTTCAAGCATAAGCCAAGGACCAACATGGATTCTTGTGATAAAAAATCTGATGTTAATTTCAAGCATAAGCCAAGGACCAACATGGATTCTTGTGATAAAAAATCTGATGTTAATTTGAACACGGACTCTTTTTTTTTTTATAAGATTTTATATTAATTTCAAGCATAAGCCAATAGTGAGAAGGATGGAGCCATCGTGTTGAGAGTGGGCAATTACCTCTATTAACTTCACAAAATTTACAAATTAAGATTGAAAGTTTTATAAGTACATTTTTAGGTTTTTCTCACAATTTCCCCTCTCAATTTCTAAAAGTACTTTTCTCTCTTGACATTGCCCCCTATATTTTCAAAAATTCTCATTTCTCATCACATTACCTCCCTAAATAATTAATGTCTTTTAATCATCTCTCCTATGGTACAATTGTTTCAAAGCTATTAAAGTACAAATTTTAGTAGTACTTAAACAAGGACTAATTAAAAAAACTCCAAAACAAAAAATGGTATAATCTCAAATCAAATTAAACTTTACATGATTGTGACATATTTTTAGGTGTACAATGGTGTACAATCTTGCCCCTATTGGTATAGATGTGTCAATTGTATTGGAGCATTGCTCCTTAAGATGGTCTCATTGTATATCCACTCCTTGTGGTTAATAAATGTCACCCTTATCAATAATGATTATTGGTAGATGTATTCTAGATTGTCACTATATGCAACTTACCTCCAAAACTATTTTTTTAACACTTTAGTACATTATGCCAATCTATGAAGCATGCTCAAATAAACTAAGAAGTAATGAATTATCCTAGCTATGTTTGAATGAAAAGAATTTAATATCTTTAATATGTGTTTGATTATTGAAATTTTCTTATTCACCTCAGACTATTAGAGTACTTTTATTAAATTAACTATCAAACTAATAAAAAGAATAACAAAATCTAATAATGAGAATCATAGTAACACGCATTGTAACTATAGATTTTAAAAAAAAATCCATGCATATGAATCATAACTTCTAATTGAAATTTAAAGATTTCAAACTACAGATCATATAATACTTTATACTATAAATTTGTAAACCATTACTTAAATTGATTGAAACTCGGTGAACTTTGATAGTTAATTTAATAAAAGTACTCTAATAGCCTGAGGTGAATAAGAAAATTTCAATAATCAAACACATATTAAAGATATTAAATTCTTTTCATTCAAACATAGCTAGGATAATTCATTACTTCTTAGTTTATTTTGTTCTCAATTTAAGTAATGGTTTACAAATTTATAGTATAAAGTATTATATGATCTGTAGTTTGAAATCTTTAAATTTCAATTAGAAGTTATGATTCATATGCATGGATTTTTTTTTTTAAATCTATAGTTACAATGCGTGTTACTATGACTCTAATTATTAGATTTTGTTGTTCTTTTCATTAGTAGCATTAATACTTGTTTATAAGTTTCCTGATTGTTTTCTTTTGCGAGGGAGAGAACGGTTGGTTCATAAAAAAGAAGTTTTGCAAAGTTTTGGGGTAATGACAAAAGAAAAAGATTTGTCTTCATGACATCACCATGGCTACCACATCTAAGCTATCTGAAGCATGTCCAAAGTACTTTCTAATTAATTGTTTGGAATCAAAGATTGTTCCCTATTTGATGCATTTCCAAATCTTGTTTGAAATGAGTTTTTTACTTTGATTTCTTTTTCGCCATGCGAAGGTATATTTGGACTAAAAGAACTTGATGCAAATGAAACCCTGAAACCTAAATTTTTAGCTACATGAGATTACTTTGTCACTTTAAAATCAACAAAAGAGATGATATTGATAGATTAAGAAAAGCTTCTCACTGTTTTCAAAATTATTTCTTGAGATAATTGTAACTAGCCTAACATCATTTTAAAACTATGAGTTGCTTACAATTACCCTAATATATTATGTAATTTGATCTAATGTAGAGAACAACTATTGAGATCCTTTCACTAATTTCTTTTGAGTTTTGTTGAAATTAGGCTTGCAATCTTTGAAACACTGTCTATAACAAGTTCAAATAAATTAATCAATTACAAAAGCACTTGACTAGTAGAAATTATTTAGACCATTGAACCAAATCTTATAATAATATTTCTTTAATTTCAAATACATCTACAAAGAATCGCTGAAAGCTTGCATTTTTTTTGTTTAACCTTTATTGCATGAATTTATATACTATCTATCATTTTTTTATGTAGTTATCTTTAGCTCATACCGTTCAAATTGATTAGTAGTTCTGAACTTCTGAAAGCATTTCCTCTACAACAACAAAGTTAAGCAAAAAAAAAAAAAGTGCCCCAGATTAGCTGTAAAAATTGTAAACTAACATAGTAGATCTATATTCCTGAAGTAGCGACTAGATATGTTAAATGAAATTCTCAAATATTTCATAAACATTTATTATCTCGAGTGCATAAACTTATGTTCTAGTTGTTGATGATGTTTGACAACCTCATTTGAATACGTTACGTTGATTCAAATAATGTATGTCACGAAATAAAAAAAAATAAAAAAAAGCAAGAAATGCCTTTTTGAAATAGAGGATAGAAGTCCAAATTTTTATTAAAAAAATGAAAACTCTAAAAATTCAATCCCATATGGAATAAACATCTTTATATATTATATATTTAAGGAGGTGTTTTCAACCTCGGCCTCTCACAAAGTTTCCAAACTGATTTTTTTAAATTTTGATATTTAATTTGATATAAAACTACTTAGATTACATATTTTATTATGTAGGGATAATTTCAGAAACCTCACTCGTGGTTTTTCATAATATCACTCAACTCGCTTAAGGTTTTTAAAATCTCACTTACCTCCTGTAGATTGATATTTCTTGTAACATTTTAACCCCTTTGGAGGAAATACAAGAAAGATAAAAAAAAATTTCCAATACTACCCTTATATTATCCTACTTATGGAATTTATAACAACAATAAAAAATAAGATAAGGTTAAATTTTTATAAGGAGTAAATTTCTTGATTTAAACTATTTATTTTAGTTGTATTGGAACAAAAGCAAAATTTACACCTTGAAAAACTCACACATATAAAGAGATTATTTTAGTTTTCAATACAACTTAAACTATACCATGAATTAAAACATATTTCTCTAATAAATATCTTGACTTCCTTAATTTTAATTGTGCACGAAATTATTTAATGTGTTAATTACTCTCCAAAATCCTCCTAGGTGGTTCTTGATTAGATTTAATTTATACTCGACCTTTGCTATCTCACCATGACCCCAATGTAAAGACATATAGACCATTATTAGCTTGTAATTTTTTTATAATTTATATTTTTTGCTTTTAAAATTTTATTTTGTTTTTTCCTTTTGATTAAATTGTTATTAAGAGAAAGGGTAATGTTGTCAATTTATGAATTTTGATAGGAATATTTAGTCTTGTCAAGTTGACAAGGGAGGTAAGCTAGATTTTAAAAACTTGAGGGGAGCTGAGTGATATTATGACAAATCTCAGGAGAGTTTTATGAAATTATCCCTTATTATGTATGCATGTATCAATCAGCAAAATTTTCTAAGACTCATATATTAAAAATTTTGCATCTTGCCACAAATTGAGAATGTACCAAATATATAAATGCATCTAATTGAAAAGGATATAAATTAGTATCATTAAAAAAACACAAATATTTCAAGCCTTTCAATATGGTAACATTAAATATAAAACAACTTAGCACATTATAAAAATTGGATTAGACATTCAAATTCAAGAAGAAAACATTCAAAATAACAATAATCTTCTATTTGACAACTTTATCTTAAATATGTCAATAGTATCTAATATAAAACCTAAACATAGAAAAATTGAAAAAGCTGATTAACAATTTGGTAAACTAGCAAAATTGATTAACAAATTTAAATTGAGAGACAATAATATTCCATGATTCGATTTAATAATACCAACTAAGTTTGTGTCCTATCCAAAATAGTTATAGTTCTTCAATTTGACAATAATGACATCAAAACAACTTAGTAGTTACATTACCGAAATTAAAACAAACATTTAAATTGAAGAAGGAAATAACAATATTCTAATTTTTCATTTAGTAATTCAAATTCTTATATGAAAATATTATCTACAACAAAATCTATACACACAATTTGAGAACCAACAAAATTTGATAGACAACCAAATGAAAAAAAAAAAGACCATTAGTACATAAAATAACAAAATGTAAAAACAACAATAAATATCTAATCAATTTAAATTGCTTTACTTTATAAATTTCATTCCTAATATGGTAATTCTAACTTAAATTTGTATATCTTACCAAAAATACATAGTAGACAACAAGATTCAAACTATTAATTAAGAAAGAAAATATTAAAACATGAAGAAAATTCATATTTTCATACCTTATTTAACATTTACACACCTTAATTGTGATGACCCCACCTTCTCCTAGGGCCTACCCTAGAAGTTAGCAGATCGTCTGCTTGGCTCTCGCCAGGACTCACTCACTTACATTAACTTCAGAGATAACATTATCATTGAACAACTGAACATTCACTCTTAAGTACCATTCCAATCAGCTTGAAACAAAGATTTGTCCACTAAAAGAAACAAAATACACGTTCTAAACATCCATTCTTAATATTACATCAACTCAAAACAGAAGATTCAACCATCTTAAAATACAAAAGAAAACGTGACTCCAATATATACGCATAGTGATGGAATTTCCCAAAACAACTTTCCAATTCCATCCAATCACTTTTCAATCTCCAACTCCTGTAAGAAAAACAAAGCTAAAAAGGTGAGCTTACGCCCGTGAAGTTTCCATGCAAGCAACAATTAATAAGCACTTAAATCAGTACAATTAAGCGAGTAGTGCACATTTCACTGTACAATCACTTTCATTAAGCAATTGAGAAAGCACATCACCAAACAATCACTTTTAAAAGGATACGGTGCTCGCATTAGAACCACTTCAATGCACTACACACTCCACCGAACTCCTCCTTATAACCTCCAAAATAATAAACACTTCCCTCACTTGGATGGCCATATCACTATCAGTAATCTGCTACTCCGTGGTAATACTCGAGTATACCGAAACACTTACCCAAAGCTACCGTCCTACCCGAACAAGCCCTCTGCTGGCTCGAATAGTCCGTTGAACGGAGGGTTTTGGGGCCCAGTTCAGCCAGTGTGATAAGGTACACACATGGCTTACAGTCATGCTGTGACACCCCCACTTCTCCCTAAAGCGAACCAAAGGGTATCTGCGGGACGCCTGCCCAGCTCTCGCCAGGACTCACGCAAAACATTCAAGTTTATAACTAATCTAATAGTCACATGTACAAAACATAAATACAGTGATGCGGAAGCGTTCAAGTTAACCATGGTCATCTATTATCCAACCCGTACATCGGGTGTTCAAAATACAACTTTAAACCCAAATTCATCTCATGCCCAAATGCTACATTCCAAATACAACAGTACAACCCAAAACCAAGAGGCATAGACAAAATGATGACAGAAACCCTAAACAAAAGTACATCAAGAGGGTTTCTCCAATATGTCCCCGGATCCAGTCCTGTTAAGGAAAACAAATCTACAGGGTGAACAAAACGCTCGTGAGGCCAAGAACACACATGCAAGCACATTGCTCAAATAACAATCTCAATTTACAAGTCAAGCAATAATATTGCAATAATTAACAATTCGAGCGGGAAAAGTAAACAGAAACAATTCAAGGATATAGTAGCTCTCAGGAGCTGAGTTCCACTTGCACGAGCAATAACCTCCACGAATTGACACTCCGTCAATCGGGTAGGTTTAGTCCGTAGAACTCCACTTAACCTGTCCCCTTTCACCTTACATACTCCTGTATCGGGCCCGCCTGTCATTAGTTTATGGCGATACTATTCGAGTATGCCAAGCAAGACCTCTCATTAGGTCAAGCTTATATATCTCATGGTTCGCCAAGGTTCCCGACCAAGCCCATGCCGGCTCGAGTCCAAGGTCGGCCAATGAGATTTGGGCGTCCCCCATGTGCACTTGTGTGTCGAGGAGATTCACTCCAACGACGTATGCAGCTAGCATACCAATACATTTCATTCATTCAATGCATTTCAATCATTCATTCAATGCATTTCAATCATTAAAATTTCATTTCTAATGAGAACGAGTGTGGTAAAGTACACACTCGACTCCACTTTCAAGATTTTCAATCATTAATAACAATTAAACATGTAACAAGTTTACATACACCTGACACTCACCAAGTATTAGGTGTGAGTAAGGTCAAGGGAAGTTCAAGCGTCCACCGGGGAATCCTCTTGAAGGTCCTCGTGTGTGCCTGAGCAAATAATAGTGAATTTATCATTCACATCCCAAATATCGAGGAATAATTCGTTCACTAGCATTAATCGAGGGAATTCCGTGAAAATGAACCTCAATTACTCGTAAATCGAGGTTCGAGTGGGGTTTGATAACGTTCAAAAGTATTTAAGTCTTTATCTAGGAATTCGGGGATAAAACGTTCAGATAATATCAAAAGAATAAAGAGTTCTTGAAAAACTCTATTTCCTTGAAATTGGAAAATTTCAGTTTTATTATGAATCTTTGAAAAATCGTAACACACTCGGCACAAGTCGAGAATTGGAAAACTTTATACCGTTGGAAACCTCTTAGAAAGTACTATAAGTTCCTAGAAGACACCTTTTCATGAATCGAAGTGGAAAGTACTCAAAAATGAGCTTGAAGGTACAGACTCGGTTTACAAGGCAGAATTAAGTTGGATTTCGGCCAACTTTGAAAATTCGGCACGATTCACACGTTGCAAACCGGCCTCTGAAATTTGTAACTCAATTAGAGTTGCAAGTGAGGTTTATAGAAAAGCAAGCGGATCAAGAATCGGAGTTTCGAGTACCGAGATACGGTAGCTCAAAGTTGGGGGAATTCAAGACTGGAGAAGAATTTCCAGATTTGAACCTCCAACACTAGAAATTTAATTAGGTATCGAAACGAACTTGGATTGGTACCAAAATTGGCAGTATTTTACTCCTATATGAAAGGTATTTCTCTATCAAATTTCAGGGAAAAATACCCTCGGGAAGGTAGTTAACTAATCATCCAAAGTTCCGGAAAATTTCTAAGGCAATCTGCCTTTTGACTTTCATTTCCCAATTCAAATCGTTTAACCAAGAAAGCTATCCAACCATGGTTCATTTGTGAAATAAAGGTCTAAGATACATCCATGATACCTTTGGTAATGGTTTAGCATCAAAAATTTCAATTAATAAGATCACTCCCGGGTTTTGTCTCAAATCAGTCCAAATATTACGTTTTTCCAAAACAGGGCAGTCCTCTTGTTTTGGTCACAACTCAGTCAATTTAGCTCGGATTTGAGCATGGTTTATGGCGTTGAAAAATACATTCATAGGAATAAAAGTTGACGGAAGGAAACGTTCTGAAATTTGGCAAGTAACCAGCTCGAAATTGAGCCTCAAGTTGCTGCCTCTACAAACCATTCCAGCAGATCCGAGAGACAGGACAGCTATCTTAAAACGAATGGTTCGGCTCCTACAAATGGAATCAGAATACGTATTTTATACCGTTGGAAAGGTATGGATGTCTAGTTTCGAATGCCACTGACAGCACTCAATTTCGACGTCGGAGGACAAAGTTATGGTCAAAATGCTACCGCTGGACAGGGTTATCCGAAAATAATTTTCTAGCTTGCCTAGTTCACGAATAAATTCATTTGCCCATCTAAACGTTAATGTTTTCCAATGAAAATTTTTACACATATAACATAACATATAAACATCAGGTTCACGCCAATAAATCACCAAAAATTGGCCTTATCATGGCCGAACAAAACAGGGGTAGTTTCGGAAATTTCTTGTCATGACCTCAACTTTGAGTTTCCAACAATAATACTCCATAAATCCATCATTTTAACCACTAAACTACCATTAAATCCAACATTAATCCTCTAATCAGCAACAACCCAAGTGTGGGAATTCATAGAGCCCACTTTTTAAATTTTCCAACAATATCAAGCCATCCATACACATGCAATAGCTTAAAGATGTATTTCTACCATCATAATCCAAGTTTAAGGTGTAGGATGAGGTTATACCTCCTTAGTGCTTTAAACCAGAAATTTTCGGTCCTCAAGAGGCTCCAAGAAACCGTGAAATGCAGCCCTTTAGTTAGCTAGATCCAACCTCCAAGTAGTTTGCTAGATGGTCTTCAAGTTTGGTGAAGATTGATTGAAGTTTTGTGGTTAATTTGATGAAGAAATTTTTGAAGCAAGGGAGTGAGAGAGAGGGAAGGCTGGCCGGCTGTTGGTGAGAGAAGAAAGAGTGAAATTTGATCAAGGTTAGCTTCCAAGAGAAGATTAAAATGAGTGGTGTAAATTCACTCCAAAGTCAACCCTCATTAGGGCTCGTTTGGTGCGTTTAGGGCTCGATTTCTCTCGCATTTGGTTCACTAGTGCACTAAACCTCTAATGTACTTATGTTCATATAAATATTATTCACTCTTTATTGTCTCGAAATAAGGGTTTAAAGTCCCTCAAATAAAGCCGCGCGTATGAAAACGCGTACCGACAATTTTAACGCTATTACGCAAAACCTCCAAGAAATTCTTATAACGATAATATTATTAGCTATCACTTAAGTACGTAAATCTGAAATTACCTATTTTAAAGCCGTTGTACATGTCCCAAAATTTCCGGGCTAATTGTACTCCTAATTGGCAAAATTCTCCAAACGTATTTTCACCTTTTCTCTAAACAAGTTCCTAAGAAAAATAATTTTTGAAACGAGACACTTTAAAAATATAACGAAATTATATTGTCATGTATTTAGGTCTAATGAGACTAGAAAATATTCCTCGTGGTAAACATCCAATTAGATAATTTATTAAGCCATAAATTAGGCTTAAAAATAATAGTTTTTACGAGTCCTTACATTCTCTCCCCCTTAAGAAAATTTCGTCCTCGAAATTTACCTTGGTTGATGAACAAGTCTGGATACTTCTCTCTGATTGTCTCTTCAACTTCCCATGTTGCTTCCTCTACTCCGTGGTTCTTCCATAGAACTTTCACTAGTGGTATCTGCTTGTTCCTCAATTCCTTCACCTTTCGATCCAGAAGTTTTACCGGTCTCTCCTCATAGGTCAGGGTTTCATCGATCTCAATATTCTCCGGTTGTAAAACATGAGAGGGGTCTGGATGATATTTCTTAAGCATGGACACATGGAACACATTATGAATTCGAGATAAGTTCAGTGGTAATTCCAGCTTATAGGCTACATTCCCAACTCGTTGAATAATCTTATAAGGCCCTACAAACCTTGGTTGTAGTTTCTTCCCTTTTCCGGACATCAAGCTTGCTTTTAAAGGCGTAATCTTGAGAAATACCATATCTCCAACAGTGAACTCCAAATCCTTTCTTCGATTATCGGCATAACTCTTTTGTCTACTTTGAGCAGTTTGAATCCTTTGCCGTACTAACTTTACCTTTTCATTAGCTTCCTCAATCCAAGACACGGTAGTCGGGTCTAAAATTTTTCGTTCACCTATTTCATCCCAACAAATTGGAAACCTACATCTCTGACCATAAAGTGCCTCATACGGGGCCATCTGAATAGAAGAGTGGAAACTATTATTGTTGGCAAATTCCACTAAAGTCAAAAACTTACTCCAACTCTCTCCAAAGTCCAGAACACAAGTCCGTAACATGTCCTCAAGAGTTTGAATTGTCCCCTCCGAC